GCCAGATGATTTTAGTTGTCAAGGGGAGAGTTCTGGGTTAATATTTAAGTAGAATTAGCCTCTTCCACAGGCAACTCTGTATTGTTTTGTATAATAGGTTTTATAATAGGATTTTTTCCTCCCATGTTTTGCTCCCCCCAGGCCTAACACTATTTTGCTTGAAGCTCGACCAAAGTTTACAAAATGCATTTACAATACAAAACAAATAAAAGTTGAAAACCTGTTATACAAAACAATACAGAGTTGCCTGCAGAGGAGGCAAAAATAGAATATGATTTATAACAGCAGATAACATTGAATTGTAGAAATCAAAGAAAAATATAACATTCAAACAATTGATGTAAACAATGTATTTTTCAGTCTTTTCAATATATCCACATTTATCAAATGTTCATATTTTACCATTATTTGTCTGACACTCCGGGGCTTAACACTGATACATGTAGGATAATCTATGCTGAAAAAACTGGAGATAAACAGTTGGGGGGCTGGAAAAATTCTTCACGAGGGCCTTTACATGCAGCTAATGTAGAATCCAATGGCTTATTATTACCTACATTACAGGAAACAAAAACCTGAATCTATAGATTCACCTCTGACACTCTGGCCTATAGCCTCACTTCTACCTCCAGGGGAAGTGAAATTGTCACACTCACACATTATTAGTTCCTTCTATGGTGCATATGGCTCAAGAATTTTAACAGTGTCAGTGAAAATGTCCAATGTTTATTCAACCATTAATTCACCCTCAACCCATGCATGTACAGGCTGAAGTTATCTGGTATGCCTATATGCACATGGGGAAAATTTTGAGTACAAAAATAAAAGGTTGACCAACAATCTTGCTAGCATTTTTAATCAATACACCCAGGGGTGAAGACCTTGGAACTTAAAGAGGGACATAATTTAAATCCATTTCAAAGGAATGTTGTCACCCAAATATTTGGCTTAAAAACTGTATTATGCATTTCCAGGGAGCTGGTTCAAAAATCTCTTGGAAAATATTTCCAGGGGAGACAATGAAAAACATTTTTGGAAACTCCAGGATGTTTTGAAGGTCTTCACCCAAAATCACTACTTAAATACTGAACACTGAAAAATATTTGGGTTTTTATCAAATTTGCCAATCATCATTTGCTTCTTCATCATAACTCGCCCAGTCTACAAATGGGAAAAATTGTTGTAAAAAATGTTGTGTCTTGGGCAGGCATTAGTTATTACTTAATTAGTCTATTACAAAGCCATGGGTAGCCTGTCCTCCCATCTAGGTGCATGCTTAACATGATTGGTGCATATAGAAATTATTTTGGAAAAGAATGTCACTATATTATTTCATACATACAATAAAATAAACTAAGCATCTGTTAAATTCCTATTATTATTAGCATTCACAAACAACAGTGTTACTACAGCCAAAATAGCAACAAAATATATAAATCACAGACAAAATATATAAATCACAGACACAGCTGATTGAGCTGAATGCTTATAAATGGAACTACTGAACTTAGTGAACTATTTGATCATATACTATAACATGTTAATTTGCGCAATATAAATATTAAATATTATTATTATTATTAACAGTACATACAAGTATACAACTGTAAAATATCAGTAAAAAGTTGTAAAAACAGATTAAGTCATTAACTATATTCTGAATTCACATGACCATTGCTAATATAACCCCCTGCACTCTTAATTCCTAACTATCAGACAAATAGCAAAAAATAGCACGAATGTGTTATTGTTAAGTTTTTTAAAATATAGTCAAAAGATTCACCCCGTACCTTAAGATAGAAAACTTTTGCCGTTTGTCAACCAAATTCTTTGTCAAGCAAAGTTTCTTCCTTTCCACAAAAGATCCACGATATTTTACACAAATTTACAGGTATATTAAAGCTAAACTAGCCAAGCAGGCTAAGCCCATAAACCAAAATATGGCAAAATATTTACAATTCCCGCTCATATGAAAACAATTTTGTTGAAAAAAAAGAAAAAGAAACTGCAAATCTCTCCCAGATTTACCTCTTCCCATAGGCAAACTTGAAAACAAAAATAATTCAACAAAAATCAGCGAGATTTCAAACAATATCCTTGATTTCGAAACAATTTTTTGCGATCTTTTTAGTAAAAAATGCCCGCCATTTTGTATGTTTTCGGGGGGGTGAATGCCTCTCCTTAGCGCACTGGCTAAGCTTTTGGTTACACTCAAACATTAGCGTTTCGTAATACAGTTACACCTCTGTCCAGTATCTACTCTGTGGTTACGCTTCTGGTATAACTTCCTTTTCTGTGACCTAGTTGAAAACCAAATTCTCAAAAACGGCATGTTTAGCAATAATACAGCTAAACATTTTAGTCAAAGAGCAAATAAATGTAACCACGCCATTCTACGATGAAAACTCTAAGTATTCCCAGTCAATTTTAGCAAATATTTCAAGCACTAAACAGTGAAAAATACATCGCAAATTTCGTTAAAATTTGTGATGCCAATTTCGTAGCTACAAATGTAAAAAAATACAAAACAAAGACGAAAAACATTTACCTTGAATACTTTGTCGTGGCTTAGGCATGTTTTTAAAACAATTAGACCAGGTTACGCTTCAAGATCACCCTTTTAAAGTGGAAAATATAGCAAAACAACAAAAATGCCGAGAACTTTGGTAACATTCGCAATACGCGTGACGTCACGTTTTTCAACAAGGATGCAGTCAATGACGTCAGAAGTTTCATATCCATTTATTTTATTATCCATGATATAAGTAAGGCACTTTTTGTTTATCAACAAGTAATAATTGTCCAAAAATACGCATCTAAATCGTGAATTTTCCATTTTTTAAAAAACTGTATTGAGCCAGCTTAAGCGGGATAACGCCGGTTTCTCCATGTGAACAGAATAAAATTATTTGGCTAGTCGAAATGTTTTCTCACTAACAGGAATAACTTTTCCCCATATGAAAATGCCCTCAAAGTTCCATGCGAGGCACTCTCTCGTTACAAACTATAAACATTTCTTAAAATATTTACATTAATAATAACTGTGAAAAAACATATGTCAATGGGCCTTACCTTATGCAACTTTCCGTCCAATTTCCAGGAATTTCAGTTACAATACTGGGGCCGGTTGTATAAAAACGTAGTTAGCGCTAACTGCAGTTAAAAAGTAGCTAAAAAGCCTTAAAAAATAGTTAACTTTAATCACGTAGTTAAGCCGGTTGTATAAAAGTGTAGTTAGCCTTAACTGCAGTTAAAAAGTAGTTAAAGTTAGGCCACATAAAAAAAATTACTTGTTTAGCGTCCACCCATTTTAATTTTTCTAGGTCGGGCGGACGGATTTTTTTTTTTTTTCCGTAAAATGCAACACAAAATTCTGCTAAATGCAGGAAATCCAGTATATTACCACAGTCAAAACTCACTTTAATTCTTTCAAAATCCGTTCATGTTTTCAACTTCCCGTTCATGTTTTTAATAAAACAGAAAATTACCGTTTGGCGGTCACGCGCGAACACTTTAGCTGCGAACAGGCATATTCTGGGAAGGAAACTTTGTGTAAACGTATTACATAGCTCCCAGAAGAATAAAATCACCATTTTTTCAAGTAAAACGGTCTTTTTTATAGAGTTTTTCCACTAAACTCGGACAGATTTAAAAAAAAAAAAAAAAAAAAAATTGAAGGTCGGGGACTTTTATCAGGTCGGGCGGGGACGCTAAACAAGTAATTTTTTTTATGTGGCCTTAACTATGCTTTAGGGTGTAGTTAACTGTCCAAAACGTAGTTAAAAATGGCGTTTGTATAGAAGTGAACAACTTTTTTCGGTAAAACAACAATGAAAAGCAACGCTTACCTGAGATTTTCAATCGCTATCTTCCCTGTGAATGTTTCCTGACAATATAAACTCTTCAAACGCTATCGCTTTGGTGTTTTTACGAAAACAGAACATATTCTTGCCCAGGACGACTTCTCGAAGACGAAGTATGGTCCATTACACCAAGAAACACTGATATATGATTGCCAAACAGCTATACCTTGGTTTAACGTAGGCATCTCAAGGAAAAACTGCATTCTTTTATGATTTTTGTTGCGGTTTTTCCTTGTATATTTTTCCCTGTTTTCTAGTGTTTTGAATAAAATTCCCGCCTATTTGCAAAATACGAGTCCACAATCATGTTGAAAATGTGTGTCAGCGGTCGTTATTCGCTGCTTACTTTATGTAATTTTGTGTTTAAACGCCCCACGCACAGTTAACTGCGTGATTAGTTAACTATCCGACTAACTACGTTTTGTGCAACGCAGTTAAGTCATGTAGTTAACTAATTACAGTTAAGGATTTAACTGCAGTGATTAGCGCTAACTACAGTTAGCGCTAACTACGTTTTTATACAACCGGCCCCTGGAAGTTTTGTATGTTGTTGATATCATAATTACGAGTGCTCAGTGCTCAACAAAAATTTTGAATCAATAGGATTAATTCAGTCCTTACAGCGTGTTGAAAAATACAAGTGCTGACGTCAGCATATATTCGAACGCCTTCAGAAACTTTGTTACACACAAAATTTAGTTCAAACTCGCCTTTATTTTAGCATTTGATTTTTGGATAAGCGCTTGGTGGTATAAAATTGGCGATTTTATTAAAATAAAGGCGTGTTTGGGCCAAAATGTTTAAACTCTTGTTTATATCAGATATGAAGCCCCGTCTTAACCTTAACCAAGAATTTTAACTTAAATTTTGTGTATAAGACAGTTTCTACAATCGAATGGCGATGCCTGCGGAGGAGGCTAACAGTTTCTGAAGGTGTTCGAAAATAATGCTGACGTCAGCGCATTTTTCAACACGCTGTAATTCAGGAGGAATTAATCCTATTGATTCAAAAATTTTGGTAAACACTCGTAATAATGATATAAATGACACATAAAACGTCCAGTATTGTAACTGAAATTCCTGGAATTTGGACGGAAACCAGCACCCACTAATTCTCAAAACCGCACACAACCTAAATAAAATGCTCGAAAATATAAGAGTTATTGGAATTAGTATTAAATGAGAATCAAAGCTACTTTCAATTAAGAATGTGAAAGAACATTGAAAGTGAAACACAAGCAATATGCATATGTTTTCTTCGAAACTAATTCCTATGACATGAACAAGTTCGATGTAATGACCAAGTACAGGTCATATCTACATCAAAATAGCATTAATAGGCTGAATATATCATCAGAAAATAACGCTTTGAAACTAAAATAAATATAACAAAAATAATGAATTATTTCAAATCTATTCACGCAAGGCCTGAATGCAATTTCACGAAAACTTAATTCCCCCAAATTCACTCTCATAATTTCGGATATTTCAAAGAAAATTCTAGCAAACAAAATATACGCGTCCAGTGCATTGAGAGCTCCATCTATTGCAGTCAGTCAAGACTTTATTGCAGCCATGCTCCTGGCCAGAAAATGAGACAAAATAGGGTTGTAAGTTGTTTCACTTCCTCGTATCAGCCTCGTTCCCAGGCGCTTTGAAATGCTACGCCGTCACGTGAAGAGCGCGCGGGACAAATATTCCAATCTCGTGCGGCTAGAGTTATAACCATAGAGATTATAAATAACACTAGAGGAGGCATCGAGAAATTTGGGAACGCAGCTAATGGGGGGCAAATTCAAGTGCCGGATATAATATCGTGCTCTCATTGGCTAATTTGAAACTCGTCACCAATGGGAACACGAATACACATCCGGGACTTGAATTTGCCCCCCTTGCCCCTTTTTTTCACTGAATTAAGATTACAATGCCTCCTCTAGTGTTATTTATAATCTGTATGGTTATAACGGTAATGATATTCGTCTGGCCGATGTACAATTTCCCACGCGCGCGTCACGCGACGGCGTAGCACACCAAAGCGCTTGGGTACCAGACTGACCTCGTATACTTTGATTTCAGTGCTGAATAAGATTGTGAACTTTTTGGAAAAATTTCTGAATTAATTGTAATTCAGTCTTAGGTGAAGGTCTGTAATAATTGATGCTGCATGTATTTACACTGGAGTATATTTGTATTGGCTCAGTTAGGATTAGTCATACAGTAACATACCCGATTGGACAGACGAATATTTAAACTAACAAAACATATAAACGCAGTATTGTCTGTCCACACACTCTGCTGTATGTCCTCTGACCATCCCCACCCCCCTCTCCGCCACATAACATCTGTCAACCCCCAACATCCCTAATTGTCCTTGGTTCACCTATAGCACCCCCTTGATAATTCCCGCTAGCATTATTTTTTCCCGCGTTTGTTCCCAAGCGGTGGTTTCTGTAGTTGTAACGAATTAGTTGAACCTCCGAATGTAGTTCCCAAACTATTAGTTCCCAAACCTCCAAACCCACTCGAACCAATACTCTTTCCGAGTGCAGAACTGGTGAGACCGAAGCCAGAAGATGTACCAAGGCCAGTAGAAGTACCAAACGGAGTTTGAGCAACAGTTGAACCACCAAATGGAGTAAAACCACCAACCGCCACAGTATTTCCTGTCAGAGATGTGTTACCAAATCCAAGACTGCCAGTTATTCCTGAGGCAGGAAACTTTATCCCAGCTAGTGGTAGAAGTTAAATAGAGTCAATTGACCGGGACATAATCTCCGGCTGGGTCTTATTTATAGCTAGTGTGGTGGCTTAGCTCAGGTATCCTAGCTAGTACTTATGCACAGTTACTCTAATTGGCCGGGACTTTCCTCCGGTGGCTTATTTGGCTGGGCCTTACTTATCTCTAGTGTGGTGGCCGGTACTTATTTTCGGTATCCTAGCTAGTATTTATGCATAGTGACTCTCATTGACCAAGACTTACACTGTATCTCCAGTGGCTTATAATGCTGCGTCTTATTTATCTCTAGTGTGGAGGCTGGTACTTATCTTTGGTATCCTAGCTAGCACATTAGTAAGGTACCGGCTCAATGTCCCTTGACTGTTGCCTGTCTTTGTCTTAACTGCCCCTGAAACCGACAGCTTCGCAGGCTACGATATACTGACACATGCATGAGAATAAAGAGAGAAGGTTTTTGGACTTTTTTCATTTAGAAACTGTCCAGCATTATTTGAAGAATTATTAAAAATAAATTGTACTGTATTGTAGCGGGCAAAACGACCGCGGCCGTCTTTTATTGGAAACCCTTATCAAGATTTAAGCCTCTTTTCCATTCATCGCAAGAGTGAACGTGCAAGCTCGCTGCCAGTGCTTCCATCCAATCACAATGCTTGACAGTTTGTTTTAATTAGACACAAGCACTCGCAGCGAGTTTTTGAGATGAGTGGAAAAGAGCCTTTGCACTTAGGTTGTACAAACTGTACAACTATTACGTTTGGACATGACCTGTAAAAATTCACAATGATAGAAGATACCTTGAATTGCGGAAGATGGATTAACAAAAGATCGACTTGTATTATTGTGAAGAGCAAACGGAGATGGCCCAAGTGTCGTACGTGGTACGTCAACAGAGGAATCTACATTGATAAACAAACAAATATATTACGTGATGAAATATAATATCTTTCTTTGTCGGTTTACTGTAATTGATTTTGGAAGTTGTTTCTTCCATCGTCATGCAGGCGTGATGAAAATTTTCACCTTCCGAAAGAAACAATTTCCGAAGCGAGCAAAACAAACAACTGGTTTAAGACTAGATAAATCCGAGATTACCATTGATATTAAGTCATGTAAAATTCATTTCAAAACTCTGAAGATGTAATTGTTGTACTGTATACAACGAAACGTTAGCTAATAAAATTTCATAAAATATGCGTGGGCCATAAAAGTTATTTGCTGGCCTCTTTTACATTTTTAAACCCAACTGGTGTATCAATAGCTACAATATTAAGTCTAGGTCTTCAATATGTATATAGTATATACCACTCGACAGAGACCTTCGACATTCATAAATGTATCACTAACATGGAAAGTCTTATAGACAAAATATTCACTATACTTTTGTCCATGTGCAGGACACAGAACCGTTGGAAGAATGATCATAAATATCAGTGTCCGTGGTGAACTGTTTTTGGGTGAAGTTTTTTGTGACCTGTTTATGTATTTCTGTCACGCGATGACCTTAACCACAGACTTTTTAAAGGGCGTTTTCCACAGTTAAAATTAAATAATACGTTAAGTAATTGCACAGGAAAAGATTTAGTAAAACCTATCATTTTAGTTGCTGTTTAATTATGCAAGTTTACTATGTTATTGTTTAGTCGGTTTAAATGTTAGAATTTTCTTCTTTAAACTTTAATGTTGTCGCCACTACATCTGGAAAACCACGTAAGAACAAATTAAAAGTATTTTAAAAGAGACCAGGTTGTTTGAAAATCCTAAACGAATGCTAAAAATCGTCAAAACATTCTGTGTCTGAGCCAGTGTCATCGAATTGCGATGTAATGTAAACAGAAATTATAGCAAGTTGATGTCAGTCAGCTTAGATGGTCCAAGCCAAAATTATGTCGCATTTGAAGTTAATTTCAAACTGAGTTAAAAATAGTGGAAGAAAAGCCGTAATTATACTTATTGTTACAATCCATTTAATAAAATGCAACATTTTTTTGTTTTAATGAAAAAATCAGTTATTTTCATGAGAACGATTTGTTATTCCATCTCAATTTTTTTAATCTCCAATCGCAATAACGTAAAGTATTATTACCCACACTATATATATATACACTATTAGTGTATCCAGTATTAAGTACATAGACGGATTTTCATATTTTTTACTGGGGTGGTGCCAGAAATTTTAGGGGGGTGAGCCGCGAGCAGGTGACTGAAGCAACACCAGGGCCTTTTTTAAGGATTTTCCCGTGGGGGCGGGGGGGCATTTTTTGAAAAGGGACCTTTCCGTGAGATAATATATTAGAGGGGGATAGCAATGGCTGAAGGCCACGCGTGTGGCCAATATACCACGCATGAATGGGGGGGGGGGGGTCTGGGGTACTCCCCCAGAAAATTTTTGAAATTTGAATCCCGGAAATGTCATTTCCTGCATTCTGAGCATCCAAATTTGGTCCAAAATTTATGCTAACTATACTTGTATTTGAAATAAACAAAGAAAAAAACGCACAAAAAGTAAAAAAAAAATAACCATCATTTATCATTACTTATTAGAGGAGGATAACAATGGTCAGGTGTTTGGGGGTGTATTCCCCCAGAAAATTTTTCAAATTTGAAGCATGGAAATGCCATTTCCTGCATTCTGAGCATCCAAATTTGCTCTAAAATTTATGCTAACTATACTTGTATTTGAAGTAAAAGATGGAAAAAATGCGCAAAAAGTAAAAAAGAATATGAACTGTAATTTATCGGCTTATTAGAGGGATAATCCCCAGAAAATTTTTGAAATTTGAAACCCGGAAATGCTATTTCCTGCATTCTGAGCATCCAAAAAATAAAAAAAATTATTAACAATAATTTAGAAAAAAGTAACAATTTAAATCGATTTTGTTAAACAAGGACAAGGGATGAAGCCTAAAACTTACTTTCCGTTTATGTATTTGTTAATCTTCGCTGGTTTGTTTGTATAA